TCTCCGTCATTTCCACTCTGCAACAGCTTACCTTCAAGTAAGTTAATATGAGACAAAGATATAGGGATGGTGTCATGTAGCTTGTGCATCTTTGCTGTGTAATGACCCCTTGTTTCTTCCTTTTTGGTGCTTCAAGCCATCCCTATATCCCCCTTTCATTTTGAAGAAATGATTTTTCCACTTGTATAATTATAACAGGTACAAACGGCCTGTAAACATTAACGAGGCTCCAAGGCAAAGGCATGCAAACAAGTCAAACTACACCAAGGACAACTCTTTCTCCAAGGAAAAAGGAAGAGCTGCTCTGGGTGGGATTCAAAACTTATGACACTGCATAGCGAGAACCCTCTTAACTATACTACAGTGGTGCTACCATTACATGGACATCGAATGTAGCAATTAGAACATTTGAAGAGCCTGACGTACCTTGGATTGAGTAGTAGATGGGAGTGGCCAGATGCTAAACGCTTTACTGACAGAAAAAAGTTCCAAGCTTAGGCACTCCATTCATATATAAGCTGCTAGCAAAAACGAGTTGTGGTTTCACCATGGTTCCACCAAGATTTGTGATATCCTAAGTTGCCTCCTTCACTCTGTCAAGAGAAAAACTCCAGCCAAGGCCTAGAGTGCCGGAACCTAAAAGCCCATGTGTTTGATTCAGCAAAAATTGCTCACACGTGATCGTGTCCCCCCCCCCTAGTCTAATGTCCAGACGTCTTCAGATTCAAATTTTGTGAAGCCAAAGATGCCACAGGAGACTTATACTTCTGCCAATCAGCTGTATCATTATGTTAATGCTTGCCTATTATTATTATTATGCACAAAACAACTGTCCTAGTTAAGGTATAGTGGGTTCAGAAAACCCAGCGAATTGACATAAGATTATTTATAACCCACTTTGCTGGCCGTGGGTGTTTTAATGTTGAGCACTAAGGATGGTTCAAAAATGCTCTCGGTATATAGTCCACTTCCTTCAACTCGTACTACACACCACCCAAAACGTCATTTTTGTGCACACACAAGAGAACTGTCAACTTTAAAAGTGTGTTCTAAACTAGATCACTTCTTTAACCTCATAATGACTATACATTACTAGACATTTTACGTCTGTAATATTACAAAATGACAACAGTAGATTGTATATAAGTCATGTGCTAGTCTGTTAGCTAAACCGACGGACATAAGCATAGCTTCCACTCCAACTCAGAGATCTTTTCGTCATGCGAGGTCTCCCCTGTGGCTTCCAGTAAGCTGGGTTGTCTCTCACTGTAATACCTCGTGATATGTACGCCTCATTAGTCGACAGTATCTCAAACATCGCTTCATCATTATGAGTGCTTCTGGGTGCTGTTGTGTTGTTGGAGCCTTCCATTAGAACAGCAATGTTTTTCTTTTTCTTTCTTCGCTTAGTCAGACACACAACAAGTGCCCCGAGATTAGCCACAATGAGCAGGAAGAGCAGACTAGCCATAATGATGATGACTGTGGTGTCGATGTTACTGTCTGTTGTGCCATTACTGTCCACTCCTGCGTTATTGCCACACATGTTGACTGATGTCGTGATTGGAAAAGGGGCTATGGTAGAAGATGGAGAGTAGGGGAGTGTTTGCGGCATGACATTCTTTGAGGTAGCCCAATAGTCACCTTTGCAATCAAAAAAGAATGTCATGACACTCTACATTGTGGCTAACTAAGCAGCATGAAATTGTGCTAATAATGTCCTACACAGTGAGTAGTGACCGTATAAGTAGCTTTGTATATTATACCGGTGTGGCTTTTTATAATTATTCAGCATAGGATACAATGACTTCTAATTAAAAAGAGAATATGAAGTAGCTAGTGGCAACAGAATGAGAAGGTAATTACAGTGGAACCTCCGATAAGGGACCCTCCAAGACACTTTAGCGTATTTTTATAACCTCTGAGATAAGGACAACCTCTCTACAAAGGACAAAACCGTTGACCCCATAGTTTCCCTTGTTCGGAGGTTCCACTGTAGTTCCGCAACGAAATGCTGTTTATATACAGTCACGTATAAATGCAGGCCAATTTCAGTCTGAGCTTTTAGTGCCCTAGCTTTTAGTACACCATTAGATTGTTATAACTAATACTTTCTACTCTTGAGAGTAACTAATAATATGAAACCAAGATGTGGTGATAGGGTTATGAATTACTTTTTGTCCCATCTTTTTGTGACATGGCATCAAAAAATAAAATCAAGTATAATTATTTACATCGTGAACATAAAGCTGATACCTGCAATGATTGGTGTGATGAGAGGAGTTATTCCAGAAGACGTTAGTGTTTGTACTGCTGCAGTATCGAATATAGTAGCTGCAGACAGAATGCCTTTGCTGTAACCTGTTACGTTTCCACTTAGCAAAAACATAACATTGGTATTAGTTATAGCATGCCTAGGAGGTATGTTGCTGGTTTATTCCGCCCGACGCCCGAGGGCGCGTATATAGCGCCCGAGGGGGAGGGCGGAATAAACCGCAACATACCGACTAGGCATGCTATAATTGATTTATTGCCAATTAAGACGCCGGAAGCAGTATTTACTATGGTAACGTGACGTCAAACAGCCAATTTTACACTGGGCGGGAAGAATGGCGGACGCGAGCGCTGTGCCGGTTGTGTCTCCTTCGCTTCTGACGGCCTCAGCGGTGGCTCGTTCTAGCGACCTTTTTTCGTTGGGAATGGAAGATTGGACTGATTTAACGCCACTTACGAGAAAGCGCCGTGTTGAGCAGCGGGCAAATCCGGGAAAGGGAGGCTCCGGTCCGTCGTCTTCGCCTCCATCCAAAAGTAAGCGCCTAAGTCTTTCCAAGAAATGCTCCCACCGGTGGGAGTTCTTAGACGAATGCGCCGAAGGAGCGCTCGCGAAGATGTATGTTCCGAAAAACACGGATTCTAGTGGCGTTGCCTCCGGCCTCGGGTGAACATGGCGGTAAATCAGTCCAATCTTCCATTCCCAACGAAAAAAGGTCGTGCTATTTGTACACAGTACTGACTAAAATTCCACACCAGTTATTGACACCTGCAACATCGCCCTAGCCACAAGGAATTCTATTGTCCTTTCCAATCAACACCAGTTATTGACACCTGCAACATCTCCCTGCTCCTTAACCACAGCCCTGTTGGCAGTTTATTTTGCGGAATAAACTTAGCAACACCTTAGCAACAGGCAATAAGATTTTGGTACAGTCTCGCTGGGTGATCTGGTTAGAAAGCCTAGTACAGTTCCAACATCAACTACTATTAGAGCTTTCAGAGTACAGCTACAAGCCAGATGACAACCATGTTTCCTGGTAGGTAACTAACTTGTGTCTATATAATAATTAATATTATATATGGCTCTGTATATTGTACTCACCGGCATTTATATTAGGCCAAACGAGATGTAGTACAAAGAGCCCCAACAGAGCCACACTGTCCATTATACTTGAACGACAAATACACCAGTGGCGAGTGAAAGCGAGTGTGAAATTTCAGCGATGCGCATCAAAACTTACCACAAATGTTCGAAGAATTGCGTTGTGGAAAAACCCCCATTTCTTGGAAGCATTCACTGCTATATATGGGCATTGGAATGGCAGCACTATAAACAGCTAACAAAGCTTAATTGCTACAAAAGAGTGCATGTACGCATCAGTCCAACTGTATACAAGTGGAAAAATCATTTCTTCAAAATGAAAGGGGGGTATAGGGATGGCTTGAAGCACCAAAAAGGAAGAAACAAGAGGTCATTACACAGCAAAGTTGCACAAAGCTACATGACACCATCCCTATATCTTTGTCTCATAGTAAACTTTACTTGTGAACTATATTATATAACACAAAGATATAGGGATGGTGTCATGTAGCTTTGTGCAACTTTGCTGTGTAATGACCCCTTGTTTCTTCCTTTTTGGTGCTTCAAGCCATCCCTATATCCCCCTTTCATTTTGAAGAAATGATTTTTCCACTTGTTTCCACTATTTTTAACAGCTTTTGGCATTTATTGTTACAGTCACTCTGATGTTCATGGCTATGTTGTAGATAGGCTACCATAGACAAATTGTAAGTAGTAGCTAATGGGGCTGCTAGATACCATGTATTGTCTTCAACAAGGATGTAATTAGATTATTGCACATGGTTGTGGTTTCATTGGCAGGCTTTGGTAATCAGGCTACAACCTGGGGGGACAAACAATGAAGGCCCATTTGACTGAGTGCCCCGCAAGGCTAACACCGCGCAGACTCTGGCAAGTTGCTCTTCGTGCAAATGAACAGCAAGATAGCCAGTTGGAAATGTGCACACTTACTTACAGAAGGTACTGGAGGCTGACAGTTCCTCTGCAGGTCTGCCAACTCGCCCGGTAGAATACGCTCGCAAGCACATTATTGGACAACGCCCCTGCCTGGCGCATGCGCGCAGATCACTGATGCTGAGTAAGCAGCAAATGGCGTTGTTCAGGTCGACCATGGAAGAGCTCCATGATCTACCGTAGTCACTAGCGGCAAGAAAGAAACGATCGCTTGATGTCCGTGCACACCTCCG